TGTAGCAGGCATAGAGGGAGTGTAGCAGGCATGCTGGGAGTGTAGCAGGCATGCAGGATGTGTAGCATGCAGGGAGTGTAGCAGGAATGCAGATGGTGTAGCCGGCATGCAGGTGGTGTAGCAAGTATGCAAGGAGGGTAGCAGACATACAGGGAGTGTAGCTGACATGCAGAGAGTGTAGCTGACATGCAGGGAGTGTAGCAGGCAGGCAGGGAGTGTAGCAGGCAGGCACGGAGTGTAGCAGGCATGCAGGGAGTGTAGCAGGCATGCAGGGAGTGTTGCAGGCATGCAGGGAGTGTAGCAGACATGCAGGGAGTGTAGCAGACATGCAGGGAGTGTAGCAGGCATGCAGGGAGTGTAGAAGACATGCAGGGAGTGTAGTAGGCATGGAGGGAGTGTAGCAGGCATGCATTAAGTGTAGCAGGATTGGAGGGAGTGTAGCTGATATGCAGGGAGTGTAGCAGGCATGCAGGGAGTGTAGCAGGCATGGAGGGAGTGTAGCAGGCATGCAGGGAGTGTAGCAGGCATGGATGGAGTGTAGCAGGCATGCAGGGAGTGTAGCAGGCATGCAGGGAGTGTAGCAGGCATGCAGGTAGTGAAGCATGCAGGAAGTGTAGCAGGCATGTAGGTGGTGTAGTCGGCATGCAGGTGGTGTAGCAGGTATGCAGGTGGTGTAGCAGGCATGCAGGGAGTGTAGCAGGCATGCAGGGAGTGTAGCAGGCATGCAGGGGGTGTAGCAGGCATGCAGGGAGTGTAGCAGGCATGCAGGAAGTGTAGCAGGCATGCAGGTAGTGAAACAGGCATGCAGGGAGTGTAGCAGGCATGCAGGTAGTGCAGCAGGCATGCAGGTAATGTAGCAGGCATGCAGGTAGTGTAGCAGGCATGCAGGTAGTGTAGCAGGCATGCAGGTAGTGTAGCAGGCATGCAGGGAGTGTAGCAGGCATGCAGGTAGTGTAGCAGGCATGCAAGGAGTGTAGCAGGCATGCAGGGAGTGTAGCAGGCATGTAGGGAGTGTAGCCAACATGCAGGGAGTGTAGCAGGCATGCAGGGAGTGTAGCAGGCATGCAGGTAGTGTAGCAGGCATGCAGGTAGTGTAGCAGGCATGTAGGTAATGTAGCAGGCATGCAGGTAGTGCAGCAGGCATGCAGGTAGTGTAGCAGGCATGCAGGTAGTGTGGCAGGCATGTAGGTAGTGTAGCAGGCATATAGGTAGTGTAGCAGGCATGCAGGTAGTGTAGCAGGCATGCAGGTAGTGTAGCAGGCATGGAGGGAGTGTAGAATGCATGCAGGTAGTGTAGCAGGCATGTAGGTAGTATAGCAGGCATGTAGGAAAGTGTAGAAAGGCTTGCAGGTGTGTAGAAGGCATGTGGGTAGTGTAGCAGGCAAGGCATGTAGGTAGTGTAGCAGGCATGTAGATAGTGTACCAGGCATGCAAGTAGTGTAGCAGGCATGGAGGGAGTGTAGAAGGCATGCAGGGAGTGTAGCTGACATGAAGGGAGTGTAGCTGACATGCAGGGAGTGTAGCAGGCATGGAGGGAGTGTAGCTGACATGCAGGGAGTGTAGCAGGCATGGAGGGAGTGTAGCTGACATGCAGGGAGTGTAGAAGGCATGCAGGGAGTGTAGCTGACATGCTGGGAGTGTAGCAGGCATGGAGGGAGTGTAGCTGACGTGTAGGGAGTGTAGCGGGCCCATGGAGGGATGTAGCTGACATGCAGGGAGTGTAGCTGACATGCAGGGAGTGTAGCAGCCATGGAGGGAGTGTAGAAGGCATAGGGGGTGTAAAAGGCATGCAGTGGGGTGTAGCAGGCATGCAGGGAGTGTAGCAGGCATGCAGGAGTGTAGCCAACATGCAGGGAGTGTGGGAGGCATGCAGGAGTGTGGGCAGGCATGCAGGGGTGTAGCCAACATGCAGGGGTTTTGTAGGGGCATTGCAGGGATGTAGCAACATGCAGGGAGTGTAGCCAACATGCAGGGAGTGTAGCAGGCATGCAGGAGTGTACAGCATGCAGGGGGTTTGTATTTTCAGGCATGGCGGGGTTTGAGTTTGCAGGCATGCGGGAGTGTAGCGGGCATGCGGGAGTGTAGCAGGCATGCGGGATTTGTAGTAGGCATGCAGGGAGTATATCAGGCATGCAGGGAGTTGTAGCAGGCATGCAGGAGTGTAGCAGGCATGCAGGGAGTGTAGCAGGCACGCAGGTAGTGTAGCAGGCATGCAGGGAGTGTAGTAGGCATGCAGGGAGTATATCAGGCATGCAGGGAGTGTAGCAGGCATGCAGGGAGTGTAGCAGGCATGCAGGGAGTGTAGCAGGCATGCAGGGAGTGTAGCAGGCATGCAGGTAGTGTAGCAGGCATGCAGGGAGTGTAGCAGGCATGCAGGTAGTGTAGCAGCATGCAGGTAGTGTAGCAGCTAGGCAGGGAGTGTAGCAGGCATGCAGGGAGTGTAGCAGGCATGCAGGGAGTGTAGCAGGCATGCAGGGAGTGTAGTAGGCATGCAGGGAGTATATCAGGCATGCAGGGAGTGTAGCAGGCATGCAGGGAGTGTAGCAGGCATGCAGGGAGTGTAGCAGGCACGCAGGTAGTGTAGCTGCGAGTTTTTTCTTGAGTTTTATTGTGTTTCTTTCCTTCTTCTTCACAGGGTTGGCACTAGAATCTTTCTTTGGGCCCGCGGTGGATTATTCAGCAGTTACAAATAATAAAAACAATGGAATAATACAAAATGTATCACATGTACATGTTTAATCGTCCTCGCTGGCTTGTAAACAATAGCACACAGGCTGTACACGGAGTCACGGAGTGGCCAGGCCTGCTCATGCCGCACGGACATGTTCGGGATGAAAGCCCTTAACCGAGTTATTTGGCATTAGCTGAGCCAATATTTTTTCGCCAAAGCGAGCCATTATCCAATTTTGGCGCTAACCGATGACGTCTTTACCCGAGGGTCCACTGTAATATGAAAAATAGAAAAAAAAGTATATTGGCAACACTTCTGCAAGCGGCAGGACTGATGTTGCTCTCACGTGAGCATTCAGTGCCCACTTCTCGGCCTCATGTCTCTTTAAGTAGTGACCCTAATTTTTTTCATCCTATAACACTTAGAAAAATGTGCACTTAATTTTCATTAAAAAAAACTATTTTTTTATTTTTTTCAAAATATTCAGGGCACTGGGGTAGTGAACGTATATATATGTTTGGACCGTTTACGAGTTGAAGTCCTAGACAACATAACGACAGCCCCCTCAACAGAGTTGGCTAACACTACCACCCTTGCTTCAGAGAAGTATACCCCCATCCCTTGAGCACATACATTTAAACCTTAAATTGTTCCAGTTTTCAATGAATGGGATTGCAAGTTCTTTGCAGTCCCTGACTATCCAGCAATTTACACCAATGCCCAAGACATCCATTCATTCCCAATTTCCCTTCTAGTTAAAATGTTTCATGACAGGGGCTCCTTCCTTAGACCTAAATAAATCTATAACTTTTGGTTTTAGCACACTGTCTGTTTCCCACTGAAGAAGGGTGACCCAAAAAAGAAGAAACACTTTCATCATCACTCCTTCCATCACTGTCTTGCCAGATGTGTGCCGATACTACAGTTCAATTACTGCAATATATCTCCACCCCTCCTGTACTTATTTAGCAGTTCCTGTCCCTTGCCTTTTTTAACCCTTTGAGGGTCGACAGGCCCTCTCCGAAACTCGTTCTCAGGGTCGGCCAAATTTAAAAAAAAAAAAAATTATTTTCTCTTATGAAAAGATAGAGAATCTTTTCCCGATCATAAAGACACCAAAATTTTGAAATTTGATAGAAAACTTACGGAATTATGCTCTCGCAAAGTTAGCGGTCTCGGCGATGTTTACGCATCGGCGATTTTGCCTACTTTGAGCCCCATTTTCGCCCAATTTCACTGTACTAGTCGACAAAAAACATGAATATTTCGCTAGAACTCCATTTTTTTCTATCGAATGGGTGCACGAAACCACTCATTTATGAAATTCAACTATCCAGTACAGTGATCAGAATTTAGCAATTTTGCCAATTTCACACAAATTTCAAAAGATGCCAATTTCCGAATAGGGTCCAGAATAAACAAGAAAGACATTCCTGGCACTAAAATGACATTTCCTCTAGTCATTAGTCATGTCTCAAGGGCCCCTCTTATATTCTTTTGCTTTCCACTTTGAATTTTTATTTTCACAAAAAATATAAGATTTACTGTTATGCAGACTACTGCATTAGTGTAAAAAATGGTATAAATATTATTGGTGCACTTGTGAAAGAATATTAGACTCACCAGTTGACGTGTATTGCACGCTTGGCACGATTTGTTTACTTTTGAAGTTTGGTAAAAATCGAACATTTCTGCTACTTTGAGCTCAATTTCAAGGCACCTTTCTTTGTAAAACCAGTCAAAATCATCTCAATTTCTGTAATATGTCTTCCATTCTATAAAATGAGACCAAGAAAACTAGAATACAACAATAAATACCATACGAAAATACACTGCAAAGTCGCTGATTTATTAAAAAAAAAATGGTAAAAATTTTTTTTTTCTCATTATGCACTGTGTGCAGCAGGATTTTTTTTAGACTGTGCACACTGACCACATAGACCCATTCTTTCATATGAAGGCCTACCAGCTTTCTCCCACTAGATTTGAGGCCGCTAGAATTTATGAGTACTAGTACGTCAAAAACCCCTACGCGTAAGACGTACTAGTACGACGAAAACCCTCAAAGGGTTAATATCATTTCCACCAGCATTGAGGCAGATAATGAACTTGTTCCCATCGCCTGTCAAGATATTATCCAGCCTGTTGACTAAGTTACTAACCCAAGCTCCAGAGAAACAAACCCTCTGTTTCACCTTCCTATCTCTGTTACTGAAGGCATGGTCAAAATATTTTACCTTTGAGTCACCAACCACAAGGATGTTTCTCTTTCTATGGGTCATACTACCTTAAGTGGACAATAGCCAATGTAGTGAAAATAAAAACATACCTGAGTTGCTGTTTTACACAGGAGACATCAGTGATCATAGAATAGACAAGTTTAAGTGTTTCCAGTTGTCTGGAGCATACTTGTCTCTTGATATATTTTTCAAGGGATTCAACCAGAGAATCTTCATAACGGTGCTTCTCCTCACGGCAGAACAGTCTGAAGACAAAATATATTAAATCAAAATTATATAAAATCATAATAAAATATATAGAAATTTGTGTAACCAACTAAACAATGTCTAACAGGCAGATTTAGGATAAAAATAATGTCCTTCCTTCAAGGAAAAATGAAAGACAACTTAGCTGTCCTCCTAAAGAAAGATACAGTTCTGAAATATGTCACACATCAGACAGTGATTATGTATGAGTAATGGTGAGTGTTGAATGATCAAAGTTTTTTTTCTTTCTTTTTGGGTTTTTCTTTCTTTTTGGGGCACCCTGCCTCGGTGGGAAACAGCCATGTTAAAAAAAAAAAAAAAAATCACCCGAGACTCCCAGAGTGCACCAAATCCACGTATAAGCAGCAGCACACAGCTGTGGAAGGAAGGAGAAACCAAGGGTTCTCCAGGGTCCTCAATGTACAAATACATCTGTGATTTGAATTTAAATACAATTTCCTACTCTAGACCCCACTTGAAAACATACCATTGTTGACCTAAGGTGGAATGAAGGTGGGCATATTCTGTGACAGGAACCCGTGGATGAGTGAGGACAATTTTGCTGGGCATCAAATGAATTGAGATGGAATAATGCATAAGAGGTGCTCTATATTTGGCCAGGAGATAATCCCACATCAGGATGCATTAAGATAAACTGATGGCATTCTGAAATGCAAGACAATACTGGCACTGCATTGCAATTTATGTGTCAGCAGGCCAGCATACAAGCATAATTATATACACTGTGGCCAACCCCATATTCGCTGGGCAACCCCTTTCACTGTAGGTCCTGTAATATTACAGTTTGCAAGCCAGTGTCAGTCCTGTAATATTACGCCAAAATTCCAGCGGCTTCCAATCTTGCAGAAGAAAGATGGTAGGCCTACATATGAGAAAATGGGTATGAGTTGTCAGTGTGTGCAGTATGAAAAAATCCTGCAACACACAGTGCATGAGAAAAAAACTCCGATCGTGGTTTTGGTTTAAAATACCGAATTTGCGGTATATTTTCATGTGGTATTTATGGCTGTATCGCATTTTCTTGGTCTCATTTTATAGAATGGAAGACATATTACAGAAATAGAGATGATTCTGAATGGTTTATGAACTAAACGTGCCTTGAAATTGAGCTCAAGGTAGCGGAAATATTAAATTTTTACCGAAAATCAAGAGTAAGCAAATCAAGTTATGCGTCCAACACACATCAACTGGTGGGTCTAATATGCTTTCATAAATGTGCTGATATTATTTATACTACTTTTACAATAATACAGTAGTCTGCATAACAGTAAATCTTCTAGTTTTTGTGTGAATAAAAATTCAAAATAGAAAGCAAGTGTAATGTAAGAGGCGCCTAGAGATGTTGACTAATTGTAATGCCGAGATGTGGCTTTGTAAAATATAATTTTTATATTGGTTCATCTATCTAATATTACATTGCGATTACCATCATTAGCTAAAACGAGAGTAATCACCTTTATAGTATTAAATATTCATTTTCATCTATCCCATTTTCATTATTTGTATACATTTATATGATGAATTATTCTGGTAAGGAAATGGATCGTTCACCATGGGTAACGACCAATTTATGTTTGTGTGGTCTCACCTCTGCACTACTTGCCTGACGCAAGCTGACGTCAGGGGTGAGTGGTTAGGTAGTACTTCACCTCTCTCAGTCTGGAGAAGGTCCTCTCTACTTGCTCGTACTTTGACTGGAAAGTTATCCAGCAGTATAGCATTTCTCTCTGTCTCTAGAGAGTAGAGTATCTGTGAAACCCACACCAAGTAAAATCTCTTCATTGTTTAACCCTTTGACTGTCGAAAGGCCCAATCCTAAAGTGTCTCCTGGTGTCGCAAAATATTTGAAAAAAAAAAAATTATTTTTTCTTATTAAAATGTTAAGATTATTTTTCTGATTGTTTTAGTCCCCAAAAAAAAAAATTTTCCCATCAGTACTTACCGAGATATGGAGTCCTGAAGTTTGCTGAAATTTATCTGAGAGCGGTAACAGCGGCGACTGCCGCTCACCCGGTAAACTTTGATTTACTTGTATTCGATGGTTTCTTGTTTTTTTCACTATTTTATTTTTTCACATAACTTTTGTGGCCTGTGAGACCAAATTATTGTGCAATGTTCAAATATACACTCGTTAAATGTAACACAATTATAGCAAAAACACTCGTATCATTATAATGTTGCTAAAACTTGTTTGCACAAACAAACAATGTAAACAAATGTTTATTACGATTGTTCTATAATATATATACATATGTACAATCACTGGACACTTTTCTATAACAGCTGCAGCTTGTGGAATTCTTTGAAACATGGGTATAAGCACAATGGTGTCTTACACTCCTCACACATAAAATGAGTGTCTCTGCATTTTTGTGGGCGTTTTATGGTATGTCCACAGACAAAACACCTCTTCTGAGCATTTTTCTTGGCAGTAGTAGCAGGCAGTGGTATAGGGTAGTGATCACCAGGCCTCAGACGAGAGGACATGTGTTGATAATTTCGTGGACGCTGGTCTATTGCAGGTGTTGTTTCTTGGTACTTGAATATTATTTGTCTGATGACTGACAAACAAAATTCACCATATTTTGGTTTCTTCTTGGTCTTCAACTTATACATATTATAAGCATTCAGCATGGAAATGTCAAGAAGATGGAAAAACAGTTTTATGTACCACTTATAACTCTTGCGAACACAGTCAGCAAACCCAATCTGCATGTCACATTTGTCCATTAAGCGCATAATGAGGTTGTAATCCATCACAGCTGCAGGTTTTACAATGGGTTCATTGGTCTCTCTATTCTGCTTGCCAATGTTTACCATTTCGTGTCGGTGAACTGATGTCAGCAGTGTGACATCACGTTTGTCATGCCACCGAAATGCCATGATGCCATTGGCAGCAAACACCTGCACTTCACCTCTACGACTGCCAGCATCGAACCTAGGCATATGTTTACTATTTCCACGCACTGTGCCACACACATCTGTCATGTTCACTCGCAAGAAATCACTAAGTATAGGGCTTGTGTACCAGTTGTCAGTATATAAAATATGCTCCTTACCAAGATATGGCTCCATCATTGTTCTAACGACATCACCAGAGATACCCAGTAACTTTCTGGTATCTTCCAATGTTTTACCGCAAGTGTACACAATTATATCCAAAACCAGACCAGTTTTGCAATCACACAGAACAAATAACTTTATACCAAAGCGTTTCCTCTTGCTTGGTATATACTGCTTGAATGAGAGTCTTCCTTTGAACAAAATCAAAGACTCATCAATAACAAGCTTCCTAAAGGGATAAAAATACATACAGCACTTTTGTTTCAGGTACATAAACACACGTCTGATCTTATATAACCTGTCACTTCTGTCAGGCCTGGTTTTGTCTGAAAATACGTAACAGTAACACAAATCTATTCACTGGTATAATGTCACTGAAAGCAGGGGTTGAAATCAGGCGGTCTGTCGCCCAGTATGTGTTGACACTATGCTTATACACATGTGGCATAAGCATTATTGTGGCAAAGAACAGATACATCTCTGCCACAGTTGTGTCCTTCCACTGGTGTAGGCGTGATCTTGGTGACAGAATAGTGTTTGCCATGGTGTACTCATAGTATGTATTGCTTTCCCTGACAATTATGTCCATCAGGGGTTCATCAAAGAATAACTGAAAGCATTCCAGTTCAGTGGGATTGTTCCCAAGTGTACATGATGGCCATATTCCACTTTGTCCTCCATCAAAGTCATGGGGATTGGGAACAAACTCGTCATCTTGCTGCCAATCCCAGATGCGGTCAGCTGGTGCATTCTGGATATTGTAATGTGGTTGTGGTTGTGCAGGCTGTGGTTGTGGTTGTTGTGGGAGTGTGGGGTCGGGTGAGGCTGGTTGTAGTTGTGCAGAGTCAGCAGCGCGGGTAGTAGCATGGCCTGCTGCTGGTGTCACATGACTCATGCCACCATCACTATCACCACCACCGCCTGCTGCCTCACTTGCATCATTGATACCCATCGTAACAATATCGTCATCTTCACTATCAGGACGTGGTGTAGGGCCACGGGATGTGCTCCGAGATGTACTCCTTCCTCTTGGAAGAGCATATGGCACACTACCAGACTGCATGCGACGTCGTATATACTGCCGCTTCACTGGGGAATATTCACCCTCACAACTAGAAGTGCTTTCAATAACCTTGAAATCACTATCACTATCACTTTCACTGCTCACATCTGAGTCTTGTACACGGGCAAATAGTTTCCTCTTTCGTCCTGGTACAGGTGAACATGAACGAGCCGGCCCAGCACCAGAGGTGGAAGGTTGTGGGTCATCTGGGTTTTCATCACTAATTATGTTATCCTGGGCACTTTTTTCGGTCACACCCGCTTCAAACCAGGGAATTCACTTTCACTGACACTTTCATCACTGTTTGAGCTATCACTTGGGAACAAAAGACCTCCAATCCACCGACGAGTGAGGAACTTCTTACCGCGAGGCATGGTGAAAATGGACTACCAAGATGGCATTCCCACAATGCACCGCTGAGTCCCTGAGTTTTTTCACAGGGTGCACACCGACCACTGAGACCCATTCTCTCTCGTGCAGGCCTACCAGCCCTCTCCCGCTTGATTTGAAGCCGCTAGAATTTATGCGTATAGATACGTCAAACAAGGTATCTCCCATGACGTATATATACAACCGCGACAGTCAAGGGGTTAAAGAGATGTCTTTTATTAAGCTTGGATTGTCTCTGGTTAGTGAGACCATTTAACTTTATTAAATTCATATGTAATTACTCATTCAGTCAGAATGGAGGTAATTGTAAGTGGTATATAAGCCTGTCAAGTGTTAATTCTATATTACAAGTAAAGATACCATTTTAAAACACCTTACAGAATACAGTGGTCCCTCAATTATTGTCCTTAATCCGTTCCTGGAAGTGGGACTATTATCGAAATAGACAATTTTCGAATCAAT